CGGTTCTTTTTGTTTCTGTTTTCTATGTTAATTATAGGAGGATGGAGAACTTGTTTAAAAACAAAAGTGACTCTATTCGCTTCTGCCCTGAGGGGAAAGGGGGCAGGGCTGGCATAACTGGCAGCAGATTCTGGAGAGGGGAAGGGGGACCAAGGCATTTAGTGGAGGCCTGAGCTTAGAGAGAAAGGGATCTGTGAGGAGTTCCAGCAGTAAGGCCGCTAAAGAAAAGTGGAAGATGGTGGGAACACAGAGGGAGAGGTAGGTTACTGAGACTGTTTCAGTTCTTAAAACTGGTGGTGGGCAGGGAAGAAGAACAAGAAGAAGGGGGCTTCCCTGGTAGTGCAGTGGTTAAGAATCCGCCTACCAATGCAGGGGACACGGGTTCGAGCCCTGATCTGGGAAGATCCCACATGCCGCGGAGCAACTACGGCCAAAAGGCCGTGCGCCACAACTACTGAGCCTGCACTCCTGGAGCCCATGCTTCGCAACAAGGGAAGCCACTGCAATGAGAAGCCCACGCACCCCAACGAAGAATAGCCCCTGCTCGCCACAACTAGAGAAAGCGTGCGCACAGCAACGAAGACCCAAGGCAGCCAAAAATAAGTAAACAGATTTAAAAAGAAGAAGAAACCATGTTCCTGAGCATAGAAAACAGGTTCTGGGAGCTGCGTGGCAAATGGTTAAGTTAGAGAGAGAAGGGGAGCAAGGGAAGGAACGGGGAGAAGAAAGGGGCTGGCAGACCCATCCTGGAGGGGCAGCCTCCAGATGTTGGAGGACAAAAGATGCCTCATTCTTCCCCAGAAGCTTCAAGAGCTGGAACCAGACGAGCCCCATCTTATCTTCCCAGGGGAGCAGGGACCCCACTGAGGAGAGGGCAAGTGCCTAATTCAGGAGATCTAATTCAGGTGGACTAGATCTAATTTCAGGAACCCTGTTGGCAAATGTGTCTCTGCACCTACTGACCAAAGATCCAAAGGTGAGCAGATGGGGAAAGAGGGAAAGACACACAGAGCACAGGCTTCCAGCTAGCCTTGTGGGGAGCAAATTCGCACAGTTAGCCCTGTGTACCTTTGGTGGCCCTGCAGACAAGGAGCAGCTCTCTCTACACATCTGTGCTCTCATCCAGCTCAGCAGGGATCTGGCCAGGCAGACATATGACTCACACCAGCGGATTTCTCATGTGTTTTTGAGGCTTAAAAGAATGCCAGCTTCATTATAAAAGAAGCTCACTCCCAAATATCATAATTGAGATGTCACTCCATTGTGCTATTTCCATGGAGGAAAAAATAATATTGATTCATTTTTCTTCTGCTCACAAAAGTAATAAAAGTTCATTGGAAAACAGCTGAAATCTCAGAAATGTATGAAGAAGAAAATTAAAATCGCTCACAGGCTGACCATTTGTTCAGTCAACAAACACGTACTGGGCTCAGACCTTTTTAATGCCAGGTCTGCTCTGGGCTGCGGAGATGAACAGAACTGACAGAGTCCTTGTTCTTGTGTCGCTTCCATGCTAGCGGGGAAGGCAGAAAAGAGACAATTCAATAGGCATAAGATATATCAGGTCGTAATAAACAGCATGAAGAAGAATAAACAGGGCAAGGGGAACAGGGAGACTGGGGGCAGGGGCGGGTGCAGACTTCATATTTGGAGAGTCAGGTGACATTCTACCCACAATGAAGCAAAGTGAACTTGGAGGGGTTTTTTCCTTCCCATCTTTTAAATATATGTTAACATTTTTATTATTGTTTGCAAGTTTTCAGATGAACATTTTCTAAAATCAACATTTTTTTCCTTAAAAAAGTAATATTTGTTCACCGTAGAAAACCTGGAACGTATGGAAAAGTAGAGAGAAGGCAAATCTCCCACAATAGTACTACCCAGGATAATCCTTCTGGGCGTGTCGGTGCATTTCTCTCCTTCTGTGTCATTGCTAAACTCACAATAGTATCCACATTATTGAATCCTGCTTTTCTTCTCTTAATTCTCTCTCTCGTAAACATTACCCCATGGTGGTCAGGGTTTTGAGAGAGAAAGCACCTCTGTGCAGGAAAAGACCTTGATAGAAACCCAGGTTCCCGGCTCCCCTAGCTGGCTGCCAGGTGCCGCCCTGTCTCGGTCACCCTGGGCCCTCCATCCAACATGTCACTGAGAGAGCTGGACCCAAGTAATACGTCCCAGACGCCCAGAAGTCAAGTCTCAGGAAGATGGGCCACCTTGTGTCAGACTCAAAGGGAGCTGAGTTGCCAGCAGGGCTGAGGAAGTATTTGTTTCAGAGCTAGAGGTGAGGGAGGGTACAAATCCCCAGGGAGGTCAGGCAGGAGCCAGAGAGAGACAGCAATGTCTGTCCCCAGAGCCAGAGTTGATAGTCCCTCTACACCAGAGACTGGGCAGCCCCAAACTTCTCTCTAAGGCTCCTACGGGAGAGACGCCTTTGTCTTAGGAAGAAATGGGGATGTTATGGGCTGTTGTGGTTCCCTCTCTCTCCGGCCGTCTCCACCCCTACCGCTTCCCTCTGGGTCTGAGCTTCCTCCTTCCTGCTTCTTTGTCTTAGGAGACCATCATTCTGGACTTATGACCCCTCACACTCACCCCTCACCCTACCCAGTCGGGTCATTAGAGGGTTTTATAAGCAACGTTGCTCTTCAAAAACCTTCGAGCATGTCTACTAAACCCTAAGAAGGGTTTGCTTACCTGTGAAGGGTGGAAGTGGCTGGTCAAAGGTGCTGGGACGGGCTTCCCTGGTGGCACAGTGGTTGGGAGTCCGCCTGCCGATGTGGGGGACACGGGTTCGTGCCTCGGTCCGGGAGGATCCCACATGCCGTGGAGCGGCTGGGCCCATGGGCCATGGCCGCTGGGCCTGCGCGTCCGGAGCCTGTTCTCCGCAGCGGGAGAGGCCACAGCAATGAGAGGCACGCGTACTGCAAAAAAAAAACCAAAAAAACAAAGGTGCTGGGACCTTCTCAGGATCTATGCTCATGTCCTGCCTATTTCACCACAGTCCAAATGGTCCAGTACTTTGAGCAGTCTTTGCTCATTCTCCTACAAAGCTACTTTCTAGCTGTGTGTCAATAAAAACATCACTTGCCCTTTCTGAGCCACTGGGGACTGGTAGGAATTGGTCCTAGCATTCCACAATTTCACAGTTGCTTAAGGTCAGAGCCCAGGGTCATCAACAAAGAGCTTGGGAGCCCCAAAGAGGTGACACGGAAATCCTGCTTTGTGGAGAAGAGGCTGGGTGCAGGCGACAGGGATGGTTCCGTGTAGAAGGTGTTATGGGAGCTGGGCCTCAGAGTCCCTCTAGCATAGTTTTTAAGAGCATGAAGTTGAATCTTGGCCCTGCCACTTACTGTCTGGGTGCAACCTAATCACTTCTCGGCTTCAGTTTCATCTTACAGCTTCAGTAATGATGCCTGTCTCACAGGCTTGTCGTGAGCATTTACAGGTTAAGGACAGAGAGGTCAGCATCACATCTAGATTCAAGGTAAGGGCTCAAAAAAGTGGTTCTAAGGGACTTCCCTGGTGGTCCAGTGGTAAAGAATCCGCCTTCCAATGCAGGGGATGCGGGTTCGATCCCTGGTCGGGGAACTCAGGTCCCACATGCCGCCGGGCAACTAAGCCCGCGTGCCACAACTACTGAGCTCGCGAGCCTAGAGCCCGCCTGCTGCAAACTACAGAGCCCACGCACTCTGGAGCCTGTGTGACACAACTAGAGAGAGAAAAGCCTCACACTGCAACTAGAGAGAAGACTGTGCGCCACAATGACCCGATGCAGCTCCCCCCCCAAAAAAAGTGGTTCTAATTATTTTTATATTATGAACCATGATTATTATTGACCAGGTGAAGAAGGGCGAGCAGTGAGGGCATGTCAGGCAGAAAGAACACCATTAGCAAAGGCTTGACAAGACAAGGTGTGTTTAGAGACAGAAGACCCGTCTGCAGGGCTGGGAAGGTGCGTTGGGTGGGATCGGGGACCTGGGAGTAGGACGGAGGATGAAGCTCCAGCACGCTGCCCCACTCTGCTCCCTAGCTCCCATTTCTGACCCCATCGCCTGACCAGGAATTCTGTACAGAAACGCCAGCCACACCCCTGTCCCCCACCAGCCTTCACCTGCCAGAGTGGGAAACGTCTCTCTAGCTCCCCCACTGCTGACAGAGCCTATGCCCTTGTCACCATCTGTGTGGACAGCACAAGTCTCCTAAATGGTCCCCCCGGGCCGCCACAGTGTTCCCTCCCGCACACGTCCCACACAGGCCCCGGAGCCAGCTCTGCAGAATGTCGGTGTGGTCAGCTTACAGCCATTCCACCTGCCCGCTGCCTGAGCAGAGAGTGTCTGTACAAAGCACTTCACGGGCTGCCTTTCCCCTCCATGTCACCCCCTCCTTCTCCAGAGTCTAGATGACAAAACCACCTGCCTTTACCCAAACATACCACAAACTTGTTTCTGGGCCTTCGCACGTGCTAGTCCCCCTGTCCAGGATGCCCTCCCCCAATTCTTCTCCTGAAGACATTTTTTGGATCATTTTGTACCCAGTCCACTCTCCCTTCTCAGGGCCGTGTGGCTCCAGAACAACCCTTGATGCTGGAACTATTGTACCATGTGCTTCAAGGATGCCCCAGTGCCCCACTGCCAGGCTGCGAGCTACCTGCTCATCTTTACACCTTCAACACAGTGCCTAGCTCTTAACAGAGGCTCCAAAGAAATGTGTGATTTCTTTGGAGGAGTGATTGAGATTGGAAAAATAGGGCCAGAGCATGGACAGAGGGTTAGGTTATGGGGAAACACCAAAGATTTGGAGGCCAAGAAATGGCATCCTGATGTGTTTTAGGGAGATGATCATGGGCAAGGAGAGGGCAGACTGCATGTGCCCAGGGCACTGGGACTTCCCCACCTCCAGAGAGAAGCAGGAGGAGAGCAGTGGACATCAGCTAGGAGAGTCAAACGGCCATGACTAGAGAGCAGGGTTGGTCCTCCACCCCCCCTTTAGCAACGACCCACTTAGAGGGTTCGCTCCTGTACTGCAAAATGAGAGCCACACTTGCAGAGTCATCCTGTCAAACCGGAAAAGAAGCCGGAGTATCTCCATGCGCTGGGACATGGCTGCCTGGGAGGAGCAGCCGTGAGCCCTCTCCAGCGGCTCTCATTCCTCGGAAGGTCCTGCGGCTGCCTGTTCCAACAGAGAGCCTGCATCCTCAGGACGGAGGGGCTTCACTGCGGGGTGAGGGGGTAGGACAGGGCTCTCTGGGGGAGGGGCAGGAGGGTGGCGTCCAACCTTCTCCTGACCTCCAGGCCCCACACCCACAGTGGCCTTCACTCCCGCAGGCACTGCTGGGACCTGAGGCCCTTCCCCATCAATGCCCTCCTTGCCTTCCAAAAATCTCCCCAGCCCTTCCCGTGGCTCTGTCAGAGGAAGGAAGCCCACTCTGCTCTGTGACACCCCTCGTACCCTTTAGGGTGATTTCAGCTGCTGGTTACAAAGCTCAAATCACACTGCTTCAAACGACAGGATTTGCTGGCTCCCGTAACAAAAAGTGTAGGGCAGGGAGCACTTCCAAAGGGCTTTGATCCGCAGGCCTCTACTCTGTTTTCTAGCATCTCCAGACAGCATGTGGCAGCCCCTGCCACTCATATTTTGAATAGAACAACTGAAAGGGAAAAAATCCCTCTCTGGATTCCTGCATTGCACACCTCTGTCCCGTAGCATTCGCCAGAGTTGGACCTGTGCATCCCTCTTTTGTATGTACACCTATCCTTCCCCACTCCTGATATCTTTGTCTGATTCTCAGAAGAATCCATGACCCAAAAGAGATTACAAACCATTACCTAGCAGAAAAAAAATTAGTCCATGATAATTAATTCTAAATGTTGAGCAAACGTTCAAGTTCTGTTTGTAATTTTAAGCACCTGTTTGTGGCATAGGGTTCATTCTGACTCCCAAGGAGGCTGGAGAAATTCTCAGAGCATGGAAGAGGCAAGACAGAGGGCACTATAGCAGGAAAAAGACAGAAAAGCTAGAGCTGAACACATGACCAGGTAGATTTATTTCTCTTTGGCCTCATATAGCTTCAAATGTGACTAAAAGAGGAAAGATTGAAAGTAAATATCAAAGTTCATTTATTATTTGTGCTATATAATATACATAAGTCCATATATAAAACAGTATACCTAGTTATCTTTACCTGCTTGTTCTCAGGGCAGCTGTATGGACAGAACCAGTCTCAATTCATCTTTCTTGTTATTTTTACGAAACCCTAAATTAGAAGAATTCCACCCTGGACTTCCCTGGTGGTGCAGTGGTTGAGAATCCACCTGCCAATGCAGGAGACACAGGTTCCATCCCTGGTCTGGGAAGATCCCACATGCTGCAGAGCAACTAAGCCCGTGCACCACAACTACTGAGTCTGTGCTCTAGAGTCCGCAAGCTACAACTACTGAGCCCACGTGCCACAACTACTGAAGCCCACGCTCCTAAAGCCCGTGCTCCACAACAAGAAAAGCCACCTCAATAAGAAGCCCATGCACCACAACGAAGAGTAGCCCCAGCTCGATGCAATTAAAAAAAGCCTACGTGCAGCAACGAAGACCCAACGCAGCCAAAAATAAATTAATTAAATTAAATTAAAAAAAGAACTCCACCTGAGAAAAAGGAACCCTCCTACACCCTTGGTGGGAATGTAAATTGGTGCAGCCACTATGGAGAATGGTATGGAGGTTCCTCAAAAAACTAAAAATAGAGTTGTGATATGATCCAGCAATCCCACTCCTGGGCATATATTCAGACAAAACTATAATTTGAAAAGATACATACACCCCTATGTTCATAGCAGCACTATTTACAATAGTTAAGACATGGAAACACCTAAACGTCCACCAACAGATGAATGGTTAAAGATGTGGTACACATATACAATAGAATACTACTCAGCCATAGAAAAGAATGAAATAATGCCATTTGCAGCTATCTGGATGGACCTAGAGATTATCATGCTAAGCAAAGTAAGTCAGAAAGAGACACGAATACCATATGATATCGTTTATATGTGGAATCTACAATATGACACAAATGAACTTATCTACAAAACAGAAACAGATTCACAGACATAGAGAACAGACTTCTGATTGCCAAGGGGGAAGGTTGGATTGGGAGTTTGGGACTAGCAGATGCAAACTATTACATAGAGAATGGATAAACAACAAGGTCCTATTGTATAGCATAGGAACTATATTCAATATGCTATAATAAACCATAACAGAAAAGAAAATGAAAAAGAATAAAAATAAATAAGTAAAGAAAACAACTCCACCTAAAATTAAAATCAGGAGGACCTAGGCATAAAATAAATAAGATACAAAGATATGTTGTACAGAGAGAGAATATAGCCAATATTTTAAAATAATTATAAATAATTATAAATTGTAAATAATTATTATAAATGGAGTATAATCTAAAACTTGTGAATCACTATGTTATATACCTGAAAATTATATAATATTGTAAATCAACTATACCTCAGTAAAAAAAAAAGCACAAGGAGACACCCCTATACACCTATTAGAATATCTAAAAGTAAAGAGATCGACTATACCAAGTGTTATTGAGGATGTGGAGCAACTGGAATGCTCTACAATGCTGGTGGGGAAGCAAAATGAAACAACCACTTTGGAAAACAGCTTAGTAGTTCTTCTAAGAGTTAAACATATACCTACTATATGATCCAGCCATTCCATTCTGAGGTAGCTAACCAACAGAAATGAAAGCACATGCCATACGAAGACTTATACACAAATATTCATAGCAGCTGTGATAGCTAAAAGCTGGAAATAAGTCAAATGCCTATCAACAGATGAAAGGATAAACAAATTGTGGTATGTCAATACGATAGAATACTATTCTACAATGAAAAGAAAAGAACTATTGGTATGCCTACAACACCATGAATGAATCTCAAACCAATAATGTTGAGTGAAATGTCAATATATATGTATGATTTCATGTATATAAAATTTTAGAAAATTCAAGCTTCTCTATAGTGACAGAAAGCACATCCATTATTGTCTAGACAGGGGAGAGAAGGCAGAATTACAAGGAGACACAAGGACACTTTGGGGGGTAATGGATACATTCATTATCTTGATAGTAGTAACAGTATCGCAAGTGTATACATATGTCAAAGTTTATTGAATATCAACTACACATCAATAAAGCCACTTAGAAAAAAGAACCCCAAATGTTCACTACACCTTTCTCCTTTTCTTCCTGGAACCTTGTGCTTAGGGCCTTATTTTAAATTCCCCCCTTTCTTCCCCATCTCTCCTTCAATTTCATAATCTGCCTAAATTACGCAGGATTCTCCACTCTGGGCTGGGGAGTAATGTCATTCTTTCATGACAGTGAGATCGATACTGGGAAAGCTTTATCCAAAGTCCAGGCTCTTATTCAACTCATCCAAAAGAATTTGGGCACGGAACACAAAACACAAAGGAATTAAAAAAAAAAAACACACACACACAAAGGAAGAAACACACACACACACACACACACACACACACACACAGAGGCTGAGGAACAAAGAACAAAGAAGCAGTTTATTGAGGCAAAAGCAAAGGACACAGTCAGAGAAGAGTGCGGTGTCCTCGAGAGTGAGGGGTGCACCACAGGGTTTTTTCCTCCCCCATCTTATTTTCAGCCCTTTGAATGGGGGGTGGTCTTTTTGATTAGGGATGGAATGCTCTTTGAGTGTGGCCTGGATGGCACCAGGTTGCATCAGCTTCTTGTCCTGTGTATTTGTCTCCTGAAGCCACTGTTCGTGGGCTCTAAGAGCTATTTTCCCTTAAATTTTCCCTTTCTAGTGGAGCACCACACGTGGGAGGTCATACTGGGTCATCAGCAACCTGTGCATTTTTATTTGCGCATGCTCCACTGTTTTCATGGTGAGAGTTTCTTGCTCAGATGCTACAAAGTTTCTGTTTTAGATGCCATTCCTCCATGTGTCATGGCCTCATTAAGTGCAAAACAAGGAGGTTGTTTGCCTTCTGCCTAATGCCTATACATGAGGAGGCTGTCCTTGGACCTGGCCCTGTCTTTCCTGCCTCAAGATGAAAGTGTCAGGGCTCAACTAATCAGAGTCCATTCACAGCATTGACCTACCCCATATTTCCTCTCACGGTGCCAATCAATTCCCAGAAGTTAACCCCACTGATCTGGCCCTATGCCAGAGGTCCGAGTTCTTTGCTAGTCTAGGCAGCTGTGGATCTCAGAGCTGGGATGGCTCTCCTGGAAGCAGAGTAAACAGAGAGGAGTCTTTTCTGAATGGCATGGCCAAGCTCAGAGCAATAGCCCCTTACCTGTTCCAAGGGCAGAAACTGTTACTACACCTTTTATTACTTTCCCCAGGGTAAAAAGTGTGACACCTAATGCTACGTATCTTGCATCAATGACAAAATGGAAAAATGTTCATGAAAAGAAAGCTGGAAAGCAAACAAAGATGGCTTCTAAACAGAGATGGATTTATAACAGGATATTACAAGTCTTTCTAAAATACCTCTTGCTGTGTACATTACACACAGAAATAATAATCAAAGCTGTTAATTCCATCTGCTTTCTATACCAAGGAAAACTTCCTTATGTGTGGGAGTCAGGAGGCCTCAGATCAATGGAGGGGGTTTCCCGAGGGTCTCTCAGAACCCCCTCCTGGCTGGCTTTTTGCCTTCAAGGTCCCCTCCACTTTCCCACTGCTGTCACAGAAGGACACCCTCTGCCTCAGCTTTCTTCTCATCACCTGGCCCTTAACTCATTGCTGTTTGGCTTTGGCCCCAGCCCTCCAGTGAGGCAGCTCTCGAAGGCCCCCAGCATCCTCAGTGTTGCTCTCACGACCTTTTCTCGGGGCTGATGCTGTCATCTCTCTGTAGTGCATACCCCTCCTCTCTCTCCTGCCCTTCCACAAGTCTCCTGCTACCTCTCCCACCACTCCTGCCCACTGTTCCTCGTTTTATCCCAACCTCTTAAGCATGGGTAATT